GTTGATGATGATGATGGTGATGATGGTGATGATGATGATGGTGATGATGATGATGATGATGATGATGATGATGATGTTGATGTTGATGTTGATGATGATGATGATGATGATGACGATGACGATGGTGATGGTGATGGTGATGGTTGCAGTAGGCTACGGCGGTCGGTACGATGATAACAGCCATGAGGAAATCCAGGCTGATTGTAAAATCCTTTCACTGTGATGGAGTCTCGTTACACACCCCTTCAGGCAACAAACCCCAAAACCCACGCCTTTAATCCCAAACTCACCTTAAACCCGAAACCTAAGCCAAACATTTTCTAAGCCGCAGGAAAGCCAAACGACGACGCACGAAAACCAACGAAACCCCGCCCCAACCCTAACCCCTAAACCCTAAACCTAAACCCAGCCCAATCTCCGAGCCCGAAAAGAGGCCGAGCTGCAACTGAATCTGCCATGCCTGCTGTTGAATGGGCTGAGCACCGGAGGACTCTACTTGCTTGCGGATGCGTTAGGGCTTGGGGTGTAGGGGTTTTGGGGTTTTGGGATTTCGGGTTTAGGGTTTTTTTTTGACTTCGAGCCTCTTTCATTCCGCCTTGCTCAAGTCGAAGATCCGCACCGCAAACCCGCAACTGCAAACCATACATCCCAAACCCAAGCGGCAAACCATGAACCCCCGGCCCCAAACCGCAGACCGTTGCAGAGGGTTGAGTTCAGGAAGTCCCACCCAAGGCTCCCAGCAAAGTTGTGGCTTAGGATTTAGGGCTCAGAGCTTTGGGTTTGAGAGCTCGGGGCTCAGGGTTTTGGAATCGGGACCCAACAATCAGAGGTTCACGTGGCTTGGGGTTTCGGGCCTGACACCTCATTGCTGTAGGTCCAACTTTCGTCGAGCTGCCGATTCGGATCAAAGCCAAAAAAACCCAAAGTCAGTCCTAAACCCTGAACCCTAAACCCTGAACCCTAAACCTTCAACCGAAACCCTAAACCCTAAACCCTAAACCCTAGACATCCCTGGAAGACAGTAGGATTTACCGGACCGGGGCACTTCATGCAAAGGAGATGGGATGATACAGATGCGCAGATGCAGTGTCCCAAGCAGCCTGAACTCTAAACCCCTAAACCCTGAGCCCTAAACCGTAAACCTTAGAGATTAGGGTTGTGTTCAACTGTAAACTTGCTTAGGAAGTGGGCGGCTCCGAAGAATGCTGATTCCTTAACCCTCAAAAAGCTGCACCCGTACCCCTCGACCCTAAACCATGCGAACCGGGGGGCCGTCGTCTGTTTCCGACAGCGGGCGGTTCTGGAAGGTGAAGCAGAAGTCTTGGCTGGTGCTGGGATCCGGAGACTTCTAGGGGTGCATCGCATTCGGACTGCTTTACTTGAGTACTCATGTCCCTGAACACTGAACGTTGAGAAGACTGAAACAGGCTAAATGACAGGACGTCCACGAAAATGACCCGACCATCCTCGAGGCCCTCAGACTAGGCATGCAGATAGCTACCATGCATGCTGCCCTAGGAAGAACGTCTCCTGCTTTCTCCGATTGTTCCCCAGCTGGCAACATGTAGGCAAAAAGGTGTAGAAACTGCGATACGGAGACAGCTCCCTTGCTCCCTATGCAGCACTGCAATCATAGTTGCACGGGCCTTTAGCCGACCGCCAAGTGGCTGACTCTGGGATAGCAGCGCTTGAACTGCGCTGCGATGCCAACACCTCAGTGGCTCGAAGCATTGTAGAAACTTGAAGGGTTTAGGGTTTAGGCTTTAGGGTTTAGAGCCCTCGAAAAAACCTTATAGATAACGTATAGAACCCTAAACCTACTACCCTAACCCCATGATACCGAAAATGATACAGTTCAGAGCAGTGTGTGGCCCGCCGGAGGGTGCACGTTCCCTTCAGGGTTCAGGGTTTAAGGTTCAGGGTTTAGGGCTTAGGGTTCGTGGTTTCCGGCTTAGGGCATGGTAGGTTCAAGACTGATGGCCTGAAGCTAAGGGGTCCGATTAATCCTGCGCATTGCATGCCGGACGACATTGCAGATGCTCTGGGCTGGTGGGACTGGCGGTGGTGGCAACGGACAGCATCGGCGGCGGCGGCGGCGGTGGTGGTGGTGGTGGGGTGGTGGGGTGGTGGGGTGGTGGTGGCGAAGCATGAGGAGTTGGTAACAGCGATGATATCATAATGTTTCACGATGATGATAACAGTATAGGATTGCTGCTGGTACACCAAACAAACAAGCCAACGAAAAGCTTGCAACAAAAGAACAGGAAAACCCCAAACCCTCTCCTGCCTCATGCATCCCAGGGGCAGGACAGACAGGGCACGCCCGAGGTGTGAAAGGCCAAAGAACCGCTGATGTCCTCTCGGCCCTCCTCCGAGCACGCACGAGCATTCCGGGATTCAGCGGGTGTCCTTTGAGGTTTCTTAGGGGGTTTAGGGGTTTAGGGTTTAGGGTTTAGGGTTTAGGGCTTACTTGGAGATTCATGGGTAGTTATAAGTGGGGTTATAAGTCCCCTAATATGGGTTCTAACTATAGTTACCTTACCTATAACCCCACTTATAGCTACCCATGAACCTCCAAGTAGGGGGTTTAGGGCTTAGGGCTTAGGGATGCTATGGTTGTCCTCTGAGGTTGGTACAGAGTTCTACAAGGGGTTTAGATGTTGGGCTTGTTGCTCCGGGTTGAAGGTTGCGTTATGGTTCCTGGGGTTGCGGGCCTTAGGACCTCAGATTTGCCAGCTGTAGCTCACAACACCAGATTTCGAAGTTTGAGCTTCTGTGGTTTGGGACAGGATTTGTTGATGCGATGCGAGCAAGATTTCAATTTGTAGCGATGCAAGCATCCAAGCCTCCTGGATCAGCTTCTTCAGCATCTCATGCGTCGCCAGCATGGCCCTGCACCTCGTGTGAAAGTCAGTATGGGCAAAACGGATGAAACTTGCAAGCCGATTCATCACCATCATCATCATCATCATCATCATGAGTCATGAGCATCAAAACACCGACCACAAAATGGCAACAGTCGTGATAATCACCGCCATAGCCGCTACCGCGACTGGATCTTCTACCGCCTCACTGACCTAGTTTTTCTCCGGGAACTCCCGAAGATAGGATCTTACGTATGGGTCTTGGAGAGGCTAACCATCCTCGCGAAGAATCCCCCTGGCTCACCCTTGAAGTCCTTAGCCCCGGTCTCTGGGGATCTTTTTGGGGTGATGCAGCCCCGACCGCCACCGCCAAGGAGAACTCCGAGCACTAAGAATCGGACATCAGAACTTAACGAAAGCCTTCCCGCGACCACCAGAACTTGCAGCCGTAATCGCAACCCTCCATCCACACTCTTGGAGACCTCTGACTCCCTGACCACAACCCTAAACCCTGAACCCTGTGACGTCCTCACCCAAAAGCTGAAGACCCGAACCCAGAGGCCACAAAGCCCAAAGCCAGATCCTGCCCCGTACAAACCCTTGTTAGGGTTCCCAGAGACTCCAATACCCCTTGATTTAAGGTATATTCCTTAATTAAGGGGTATTGGAATCTCTGGGTGTAAGGTTCCCGGTTCAGGGCGCAAGGGTTAGGGCTTAGGGCTTTAGCGTTCAGGGCTTAGGGTTTTAGGGTTCGGGGTTTAGGGGGTTTTTGGGTTCAGGTTTTAGGGTTAAGCCTTTAGATTTGGGCTGAGGCTTTAGGGTCCTGGAAACCGCAAGAATCTCCAAGCAGGTCACAAACACTAGCTGAGAAGCTCTAAGACTCCACGCCCTGTAAAGCGTTAGACCCTCTGAAACCGTCTGAAAACCTCTTAATTTCAACCGTATTAAAACCCTTTACAACCAAAACCCAGGCCGGTAAAACCGTCTTTCGCGTAGAAAATCTTTAACGAAAGCACGAAATCCGTCACGGTGAGCTCTCCTGGGTACCCGACTCGGCATCTCCGCTGCGACCGGCTCGGCCCACCGTCGGGGAGTCTGCTTTCCCCTGGCCCAGCCAGACGACCTCAGTATGAGGATTCTAGAATGTAGGGTTTAGGGTTTAGGGTTTAGGGTTTAGGGGTTTAGGGGTTTAGGGTTTAGGGTTCAGGGATAAGGGTTTAGAGTCTAGGAGGGCTTTGTTAGTGTTCAGGGCTTAGGGGTTAGAGTCTTGGGTTGAGGGCTTCAGGGTTCTTGAGTTCAGGGTTTCAGGCTTGCGGCTCCAGGGCTTTAGACGGGTCTATCGGGATTGCTGGTATGGGTCGAATAGGATCTCCCTAAACCCTAAACCCTAAACCCTAAACCCAGAACCCTAAATCCTAAGCCCTAAACCCTAAACCCAGAACCCTCAACCCTAAACCCTAAACCCTCTTCATGCGCTGAAGGGCTTTGCACGTCTCTATTGGAACTCTATGTTGGCTCTTTTGGGGCTCAAGGCTTGCTTGTGAGCTTGTGGGCGGCTTGAGAGGGCTTTACTGAGTTGAGGGTTTAGGGTTGAGGGTTGAGGGTTTAGGGTTTGGGGTTGAGGGTTAGGGTTTAGGGTTGAGGGTTGAGGGTTTAGGGTTGAGGGTTTCGGGTTGACGGTTTAGGGTTGAGGGTTGAGGGTTTAGGGTTTAGGGTTTAGGGTCTGCTTCGGGATTTACGGTCCAGGGCGTCTTCTGGGGGCCTGGGGTGCAAGGATCCAATACCAATCAGGAAGTCGCGTTAGGAATCCCGCCCAACCAGGGTTATCTCCCCCAATCTCAACCCCCACACTCAGCACGCAAACGTGTCCCAAAACAGAAACCCGGACATCGCTTCATTCGAGCCCTCTTAGGGCTTCCAACTAGAACAAAAAGCTGCTGAGGGCTCACAGGGCGTCGGGCTCATGGGGTTCATGGACCCCTAAACCCTAAAGCCTCGACGCCGAACCTACAACCCTAAGGTTTTAACCGTCGTCCTTCAAACCTGACACCCCGAAGCCCTGCTAGAGTCTGCAAAGCAAACTTGAACCTCTAAATATCCCCTTATATCTAGAACCCTTCTAGAACCAATCAAAACCCCTTGATAGGGAACTCTTATGAAATTTTATCGATCCCTTCAAGAACCCCAAAAGAACCCTAAACCCCAAACCCGTATAAAGCCCTTCAAGAACCCTTAAGTAACCGTGAAAAACCCCTTGAAAGACCCCTTCAGGAGCCCTTAAAAGACCCTTAAGGAACCCTTCAAAGAACCCTTAAAAACCCCCTTAATGAACCCTTAAAGAACTCTCTAAAGAGCCCTTAAGAACCCTTCAAAGACCCCTGAAAGGAGCGTTTGAAGGCCGAAGTCCTCCGCGGCCGAGCGGCGATGAAGTCTGCTGCCTGGTCCTCCTGGGCCGAAGCAAAGGCGCTGGTGAAGATTGTGCCTGGATCCTGGGCAGGGTTTTAGGGTTCAGGGTTTTGGGGTTTAGGGTTTTTGTTGGGGGGGTTTAGGGTTTAGGGTTCAGGGTTGGTTGGTTGGTTGGCTGGGCAGAGGCATCCAGGTCGGCCCACGGGCGATAATAAGGATGCGGGAGCGAGCTTCCCAAGCCGATGAAACGGGAATAAGGATGCTGGCGGTGATGGAGTCGAGGAGCAATGCGCGGCACCGTGCCCGAAGAGCCTTTGTAAAGGCGTTCTTTTGCGCCTTGCAGACATCCGGTGGGAGCTCCGTAAATGCTCCAGACAAAGCACTAATAACCAATGCTTCCCCAATAGAGGTAGGGTCCCACGTGCTGAGCCAGTGCCCAGGTGCCAGCACGTAGTGCAAAGGTGACATTCAGGAGAACCAATTCAGGAGAGGCACCTTGAGGGATGGCCGACGTACCAAATATGGGACGGCGGAGGGAGGGTAGCCAGCCTCCCGAATTGTGGAGAACCAACATGAAACAACATAAGCCGGAATGCCACTTTGAGCAGAGCGCCTGCCAGGCAACCGGGGCGAGTCACCTCGCTGATGAGCTGGATGGCGTTATTCACCTCCATGGTGCCCGGGACAATGAATGAACCGGCTCCGCAAAGCTGCACGGGGATTCCTAGGAAAAGCGCCACCATGCCAGCTGCAGTAACGGCAATGGTGTGAAAGACGCTCTGCACTAAGCCTAGAGCCACAGCCCGTGTGCTGGCAACAGCGCCGCTCGGCACGCACCCGCAAGAAATGCGGGTTCCCTTTGCGGATTTGGGGACCGTGTCGGGCACAGGTGGTGTGTCGGGCACAGGTGGTGAAGCCTCGCCGGACACGTGCCCTGCTAAGCTGTGTTTGACAGCGCGGGTGGGCCATGTGCTAGGCCCCGTAGGCAAGTACCTGGGCAGGTCAGAAGGGCGAGCCAGCTAACGGCTGAGGCAAGGGCGCAGGAAGGTCAGGCCAGACAGGGGGAAAAGACGAGCTACCGATGTGGAAAGGGGAACAAGGGAAAACTGGGAACGAACACATCCTCAGGGCGGCGATGAGAAGAGAAGGGAAGTGCAACAAGGCGAATAAATAAAAAAAGGGAGTGGGCCGGCGAGATACTAGCCATCGTCGGCCATCAGGCAAGAAAGGAGAGCTGAAGTGGGCAGGCAAGGAAAAGCGGTGAACTGTGGACCGGCTCGACCCATCCGCGGGTCCCAACGCCCAACATCTAAAAATAAAAAACACATGCGCAGTGGACGAGAAAGTGATTTGTATGGGGTATGCCGCAACTAGACGCCGTTGCCCGAAAGGTAAGAAGGAGAACAGGAGTGGGGGGGAGAGAAGCAGAAGCCATAGGGGTCAGTGGGGGGAATGTGGGCCGGCTCAACAAGCGAGCCCTGTCGCCCATCGCTCACAGAAGAAGAAAGACAAGGGTGAGGCCCACGGGAGTGAAGAGTATGCCGCAACTGCGCGTCGTCGCCCGACAGGAAAGAAGGAGAACAGGAGTGAGGGGAATAGGGAGAAGCAGAAAGCCATAGGGGTCAGAGGGGGAATGTGGGCCGGCTCAACAAGCGAGCCCTGTCGCCCATCGCTCGCGGAAGAAGAAATACAAGGGGCAAGAACAATGGACGGGAAAGTGATCTGCGGAGGGAGGGCCGGCTAAGTGCTAGCCACTGTCGCCCCACGGACAGGCAGGAGAGTTGGAGAGGGGGAGGAAGGAGACGCGGAGAGCCGTGGGGAGGCAGAGGAGTGGGCCGGCTCGGTTAGCCTGATCGCCCATCGTTGAGTGAGCAGAGGGAAGAGAGAGCGAGTCGGAGAGGGCGAGGGGAGCAGGCCGGGGACGAAATTGAAGCACGATCAGAAAGGAGAACGGTGTGAACGGGCGGAGGGAGGGCCGGCTGCGAGAACAACGAGCCAAATCGCCCATCACCCTGCTGAGTGCTGTGGTCAGATTGGGAACGGAAAGACAGAGGCAGAGAGTGCAGCAGCGGTGGTAGATGCGCAAAAGGGGGCATCCGGAATCAAGTGGCCGCGCAGGAGGCCGAGGGGGAGGAGAGCCGGCAGCAGAGAACAGAATTGCATAGTTGGACACGCAACAGGCGCAAAAAGGATGAAGAGGAAACATGCAAGCAGGTGGGGAAAGGCACAAAGAAAGTTAAGAAAACTGAGCAGTATGTCGTGTGAGAAAGGGAACGAGCAGAGACACCAGAAGGGGGGGTGGAAGACGGGAAGACGAGAGGGCTTGGGCGGAGAGAGAACCCAAGAGGGGGGAGATCGCTGGGGCGGCCATGCGAAAGGGAAGGGCGTAGGGAGAATGGCACTATCACCCCACGGAGGGGGCAAGGTGGCAGGAAGGTGGGTGCTCGTCGACGGGGAGATACCCGTCTTAGTGCCGGTCCTGGGGTCCCACCAACCTAAGAGGCCACCAAGCACCCAATGCTCCATTGGGCCCAGGGGGTTCAGGGTTCCGGGTTTTGGGGTTTAGGGTTCAGGGTTTTAGGGTTCAGGATTTTTGGGTTTAGCGTTTAGGGTTCAGG